GTCGTTCAGACTCGACTTACGCCAGGTGTAATTGCAAAGCAAGTGCAAGAGGAAAAGAAACTGACGCGAAATCGCGGATTGTAAATGGATCCAAAGGCGACCAGAACAAAGGCCTGCTAGTGCGACTTTCTACAATCGTTAATACGGCAATCATTTTCCCCGAGGCAGGACGCCTATCACCCGATCCCTCATCAGCTTCATTCCCCGTCGCAATTAACGGCCGCCCTGACGCCTCTTGTGACGGTCGATAATGCCAGGCGGGATATTAAGCACGACTGCCAATTCGTGGAAACGCGATTTGCGAATTTATCACACGGAGAAAATCGAGAGCGACACTAGTCGAAACGTCGATACGTTTTCGCTAAAAGTGGCAGTGGAGCTAAATGGGGGCGAAACAAATCGATCTTAAATTACGGCGGAAGCACTTTCGTATATAGGAAATACCGTGGCGATAAACGCGAGATCGCTATTTAAGGCAAGTTGTTTTCGGTGTTCTTATTTGAGCGATCCACTATCCTAATGAGAAACGTTCGTCCAGATAAATTAATGTACATGTATGAATGTCGTCACTACTTAACCTTTCGGAGTTGACGAGGATCTACGAGACCCACTATGCTGCGATTGTTTAGCTAATAAAGATTTTGATGAATAAAAATAATTTAGCCGTAACATTTCTTTGTAAAGAAATGTTACGATTAAAAATTATTACATTTGAATAATACTATTATTAGTTCTTAATTTTTGTGTTTGTCGTTGCCACTTTATACAAAAATGTCAAACAATTCAATGTTCTTTATGCAAACGTGGATTATTTTCATTAAAATTAACTTACAAGTTAAATTAAATTTGTTAGTATTCATCATTCTTTTGTTACACGAGTTATGTCATCTTGATTCCTTGAAATTAATTAGTGCCATTTAATCAATATATTAAAAATGTCACAATTATTTTTAAATTTTCAATTCTAATCACTTTTTGCAGAAACTATAACTTGAAACATCTTTAAACGTCTATGACAGATCCAGTAATTCTGTTACAAATTTGACGTCAGCTCTGAAGAGTTAATTGAAACATTTGAAACATGTGTCTAGCAGTAATACACGTTTAATCATAATGTCACACGACATTTTCTATTCGGATATTAATATAACTCTAGTTGCTGATGGAGAAACTCGCAAGACCGATCGCGTGACGTTATAATTCGCCATGTCGATAAGTCACGGGAATTGCAGGTACAAATCACCTTAATGCAAACAGCAGGGAAACTGAGCGAGTAGTATCGCCGGGTACACGATTGAATATTTCATCCCGCTCGTCAAATTTACGGTCTCCTCTTAGAAGTCGGCTGAAACATTGCCTGTCAGGTGCCGGCTAACTCAACGGGCGGTGACGCGTGTATTTCTATAGCGCCCTGGTATAACGCGCGGGGAAGTTTATGCGAGCTGACGACCGTAAAAGGAACTGGACGTATGCCGGTACAATCTCGATCGTGGTCGTCGCCGTTGTGATTTTGCGGCCGCTTTTGGCTAAACCGTTCTGCACACAGCAAGTCCTCCCGTTCCCTTCAGATAGAAACTACGGACGCAAGAAGCGGCTCTATGCCACTCTCGCGTAATCGATTAACCGCGAACTCATGCAATCGCTGATAAAAAGCAGGCATTCTTATTAATGTATCTGTCTCGGTTTAAAAAGGACGTGAGTAATAATAACGACACTTGGGGAAAGATCGGTTTAAAAGTTGTATGCTATGAAAAACACAATCTAAGAATTGGGTCTTTGGAGATAAAATCGAAATGCGGAAATCTCACATAAATCATATAAATAATAATTTTGTCGCGGAATTGTTAGAAAAACGTAACCCTTTTCAGTGTACAGATTGTCCTATTCCTATATACTGAAAAAATAATAAAAGAAAATTATGATTTTTTTTCTTTTTTTTTTTTAATAAAAAAGAAATAATGGTAAAATAAGAATGCAAATAAACGTGTAAATATGCAAATAAAAAGCTAAAAAGTAAAAAATATAATGTTTTCCTAAACGATTTGTAACTCTTATATAATGCACAAATATTTTCAATTTTTGTCTTATTTACACATAATATGTCGTAATTATTAAATTCTTAAAAAATAAAATGTATTTTCATTAATGTGTCTTCGAGCTTGTCACATTTCACTCGTGCTTATTAAATTCATATCAAGAAGAGTTGTAATCTCGACATAATATTCACTTGTCAATTATAATACCATAATTCTTTGCAGGAAGTAATTTCACTGCCTCAGGCACAAAGTATAATATACGCTAATCCTCCAGTATAATAAACGTATCATAAAGAGGAATATTTGTTCGCAAGAAAAAAATCAGTTTAAAAATTTTAAGAAAAACATAATTTTTGAGAAGGTTCTTTGATAATAAAATGAAAACGCGGATATTCCATATAAATTCCAATAATTTTGTCGCAAATGTTGAAAAACAACATAATCACATTTCAGTAGATACGTTATGATATACACATTATATCCTTGCTAGAGAAATGATAAAAATTATGATTTCTTAATAATAAAAAAAAAGAGATAATAATAAAATAAGAATGCAAATAAAAAAATAGAAAAACTCTTTCTGAAAATATAATTTTTTCCTATAATAAGTATGACTTGTAATAAATATTTTCAATGATTTCTTATTTAAAAGAATGTTGCATTTTTATTCGCTATATTCCTAGAGAAACAAAAATTGTCATTAACTTTTGCTTTATCGTTATTTGTGTTTTATATCGAAGATAGTAGTAGATTATATACGCGATATTTACTTGTTAATTATATTATACCGTGATTCTGCACGAAGCAATTTCACTACCTAAGGCAGTGTATGCTCTGTTCATCAATATATCAATTCGATATATAGGTATCGGTCCCCGAGTAGAGCACTGTTCATACATAAATTTCAATCGATCGATGTACAACGTCAACAACCAATATAATCGACCAATTTAAAGGCGTGTGATAATCATTGTAATTCCGTATGCATCAAATTAAAGAATCTACGCAATTATATTTATGTCGCATTATGTATCTTTTTCATCCTGCTACGGTAATTTCTTTTTTCACTACGCGAACAAGATGGTTCTAAATTTAACAACAATTCGGCAGATACTCTGGCGATGCAGATGAAGATGTAACTCAAACTCTCATCAAACTCTAATCATCCACGTCGAATTGAACAATAGTTGCACTCGTATGCCACGATTGTCCGATTACGTTCGCTCGATTACACCCGCGGGAACGTGCTCGCTTGCGTTGCGTTTACCTAACGTTCATTTAAACGCGAGTCGTAGGGATCGATGCCGATTAATAATGTAAGGCCGGTATAATGCAAGTGAACGCGGTAGAGTACACATTCTAGCGATTAAATCGCACGGGGCACATTAATCTTCAACGGCGCGTCGCCGGATGCATTGACAATTCGGATCGCGATAGGCACACGAAATCAACGTCAGCCGAGCGTTGCTTACTGATGCGATCTAACGGTATATATTATCGTATATATACGTGTATATATACAGTGTATATATGCAGTATATATGCAGTGAAATCTCACTCCAAGAGAGTGAAAATATTTTCTTTATAAAGAGTGAAATATTTTCACTCTTTTTCAAAAGTGGTCCTATTTTCATTCTCTTGCAGTAAGATTTCATTCCAAGAAAAATTTGGAGTGTACATATATATATGTATACACATACACATACCCTTTAAATTCGTTGGAGTGAAATCTCACTCTAAAGAAGGCTAAAAAAATTGAGCCAGTCTTAGAAACGAGTGGTTCAACTTTCAATCTTTAAATGTGAGATTTCACTCTTCAGAGTAAGATTCACTCTAAAGTTGTAGAGAGTGCGTATATGTGTATGTATATACATTTTTTCATCTTGCAGTACATCCATTACAAGGTGGACCTGCCAAACATGAAGGAGTTCACCCTCTGCATGTGGACGAAATTCCATAATCACTCCAATGACCATCCCTTGTTCTCTTACGCAGGTGAGTGTGAGCCAAAATACGAATGCATCCTTTCTCCTTTCACCTTTTATCACTGCACAATATATAGAATGTGAAAGCAAAAGTTCATTGTGTGTACCACTGAAAATAATATTGCACATTATCGCATAACGATGTTACAAACATAGAGAATTAATCGTGATACTAACTTGTGGTATTAACTTTCATTGTTAGTAATATTCAATAATGTAGATAAATTTAGAAGATATCAGTTGAGGCTAATAAACAGTTGTTAGCTTTTTGTTATATGTAAAAAAAACTATTTAAGATATCAAAAAATGTTCTATATGAAAGCTCTATAATAAAAATCATCTCTATTTATTCATGTCAATAATGTATTAAAAAAATGATTTTCAAAATTATTTTAAAAAAATAATATTTATGCACACAAATAAAAATTATTTATTGTAAAATTTTTGTATAAATATTTTTTAATAATATTTTGAATATTTCTTTTATAAAGCTTCCATTTTCTCTTCAAAAAAACTAAGCAAGATTTGCGGGTTATCTCCATGTCATGATATGTCGTGCTAACGTATCGTGAACATTGGAGTTCACTTTAGAATAAAAACCACTAAGCCGCTTCTCTGGATTTTCTTTATATACGCTATTCAGAGATAGGAGAAATCTTTAATATATGAGAAATCTTGAATTTATGAAATATAATGGAAAAAAAATTAAAAATCGTTTTATATTTATATATAAAGGATTATTTCACCTCTCAAAACAGTTTCTTAGTCTCCATTAATATTTTCTAAAGTTATCTATTTATATATCTTATATGTATAAAGTTTCATTAAAATCAGAATTTTATATTTCAGTGGTTCTCTTGTAAGAAAGACAAAAACAAATTCACGACGATTTAATAATATATTCTGTTCTTCTGTTATCAGAGTAATATATACGACGAACGGACAAGACTTTCCTTTTTATATTGGAAACTTATTATCATTATAAAAACCCAGAGAAAATTCGCGCTCCTTAAATTACGGCGCAAGTTGTTTGATTAACAAATTTTGCACTAATTTACCTTTGACCTAGTTTCTTGTAATTGACATATTGTTAACTAACACAGGAACTGCGAATAAGCAAACAATAAACTTGCAAATGAACTGGTGCATTCAATTGTCAGTACTTACAAAAATGAATGTACGATGTTCACAATATTTATATATAGATATATGAAGAATAAACAGCGACTGCTTTCAATAGCTTTTTTTTAATTATATTTTCCAAAATTATTATATTTTTTTATTCATGGAGTAAAAAATATTATCTTTCCATTGAAATTACGGAACATTTTTAAACAAAATTTAAAAAATTACGAAGTTTAACGTAAACATCGATAATAGAGCTATTTTTCGCTAAACCTAAAGTTCAGTAAACTCGTACATGCACTTATTGGTTCATCATATATAATAATAATCTTGTGTAAAATTTTTTAATAAAATTTTTTACGACATAGCGATTATTTTCACATGTAATAAATGTGAAATAAAGTTTTATCAAAATGCTCCCAGCAAATATAATATGAAGTTTTATTAAAATGCTACTACTAAATCTGGATTATGCAAATAATACTGCAAATAATTTATTGTAAATATCGAAAGAAATTTAATTTAAAATATAGTATAATCTCCAAACATCATATGCGATATTAACGGTCTTATTCAGTTGCATAATCGATTCCTACGCAATGCTCTCTCTTTCTGCAGATCAGTGATTAGCTTAAGTTACAATCATGTCGTCGTAGACAAGAATCGATTTACGCCCGCATGCATTATTATTCGCATACGAACAATGGAAATTTTCCGGCTATGTTTTCAATATGCAGTTTAGAAAGGTTCCGCGCGATTTGTGGCTTTTTTGTGCCGGTAGAAAGTTCCACACATACGCTAGGTGTTTTTTTTCTTTTTTCTTAGGCGCAGGCGTGCGTGACAATAGGTGGATATGCGCGGTGTCATAAATACACCAACAATAAGTCCCTACCTTCGCATATATCTAAAAACGTTTCTCGGTCTCCAGAATCAATAGATATACTGGAAATATACCATTGTGAGAAGTAAAAGTACCTTTAATATTTAATCCACAAATCATTTTTTAGACCTTATACGAAAAATGTCGTGATAAAAATTAAGTAATTATTATTTATAAGAATTTTGCAAAACAACTTAATTTTAATTAATTTTAATTAATTCTTTAATTAATTATTAGAAACTATTAAATTTTTTTATAACTGTGTCGAATTAAAATTAATTACATAACAGTAGAATAAACTGTAAATTTGTTACACAAACGATAATCCCAAATTTAAAATTTATATTAATTCTGGATATGTAAAATAAAAAAAAGATAATTACATTCATAATTAAAAAAAATATTACATAATTAATATTACATGTTGGAAATTATTTTATTTATGTAAAATATAGATAATAAAAGATAAAAGTCATCTAATTTGTGATTTAAATTTTTGATTATTCAATTTTTCCATTGCTTAATAAATAAATATTGCACGTTGGAAATGATATTAGCATTTCATTAAAGATAAAAAAAATAACATGTTAACGTTAATCTTAAATTAAATACTAATTTTAAATAATATATATAAATAACAAGGTATTTAATATTTCTTCATCCATCTGTGGAACGAAAGCGTTCGAAAACATGAAACGTGTCCGTGAATGAAACCGTCAGAATCACGTATGTATCTGCATGTACAACTGCTATAGTATTCTTGACGGTTACCATCCCTAATAGAAATGTTACATCTATTCTACTTGCGCAGGAAAACCGTTTCCCTCTTTCCGCGTCGCGGACAGGATAATTTATACCCTCGACTTTCAGTTGGCGACCAACCACGGGGGATACTGTCGTGGGTCGCAAACACACCAAGGAGTTCATACTACATGCTTAACGTCAACGGTCACAATTTATACAGATTGAATTATCCGCTGAGACTTAATAAGTGGTACCACTCTTGCACAAGCTGGAACGGTCGCACCGGGGAATGGCAGATCTGGGTCAACGACGAGCGCGTAGGTCGCGGGTTCAACAACAGGGTAAGCGCGATTTTATCCTGCTTTTGACATTATCGTTTCGTTTCTTAAAATATTTATAGATAGGTACACTCTAAATTCTTTATAATGGAATTTTACTTTAAAGAGAGAAAATTGAGCCAGTCTTGAAACAGAGTGACTCAATTTTCAATCTTTAAGAGCGAGATACTTAAAAAGTTTCAGAGCATAGGTAAGCAAATTGGTACACGAAAAGATTTTACTAAAGCATCTAAAAATTTAAGTATACAGAAAATAATTCAGAATCTGAAAATAATTTTGTTGGACGATAAAAATAATTAAGTGGAACGCTTAATCTTTATTTAAATAAATAGCCCATACATAATCTTAAAAATTTTGCCATGGAAAAATAAAAAGTATTATCCAATCTTAAAGTTCATTATTTTTACATTTCTATTTCGAAAATATAAATAGTAAAAGTTAATTACACATATTAAAACTATTAAAAAAATGTAATTATAAAAATAAAATTTTTTGGATTATTCTAAGCACTCTACTTACCTTTGTTAGGCTAGGTATTATTTTGATAGTTCAAATAAAATTATTTTTAGATCTGATCTTTCATATAAAAAGAAATAAATAGATGAGTAGAAATATCGAAAAATATCATAAGGATAATTAATTTTCCTAAAGTCCAGATTGGCAAACAATAATTTGAGTTGAATGAAGAGCTTTTCCCCAAATTAAAAATCGTCGATTCTGCATCGCACTATTTCTGAAATTTCTCCTGGCTCATCTATGTTTACACGTGGCTTAGTATTTCGAAAACTTCGAAACTTTCGTCGAAAATACGTAATTTCGGCCGCGCTGAGAGAAAGCCATTTGCCTCTCATTTACTGAGAACGTGTTCTCATAACTTATAACGACATGGACCCAACTATATTCTAACATGAATTCGACAGAACCGTTGAACGAAGTTGTTGCGTTATTCGCAAAACTTGTTACGAGATCGTCCAGCATTAACCCCCCTGAGCGATTTCAAGATGAGAATCCTGAGACTTCGGAGTTACAATTGCTAATAATGCGTAAGAAAACGCGTCGATCTCTTGAGATTTCACTTCTCGTGCCGTGGTAAATTTGGGTCAAACGGCCAGCTCGCAATGACGGTGTAATCATGGCGCATTGTCCTCGGTATTCTAATAAGATTGCACCGGCTGTCTCTCGCACTAGAATCGACTTTTACAATCATACCGCTAATCACTAACTCGTGTTTTGTCGTCCTTTCATGGCTAAAATAGTCGCCGTCCCACTCACGCAAACACCATTTGACTTTAATTAAAGCGCGCTTTTTCATTTTTTTTCAATTTTGCTCTCGTGAACTATATTTTTGCTTATAAAAAGAGACCAGTATATCGGATGCATCATAATTAATTTCTCTAATGAAACTCAGAAATATTCTGGGTAAAATTCCGAAAACAGAATATCTCCAATTTCGCTAAAACTGTGAAAAGCTTCATTTCGGATTAAAATAAAAATGATTAAAGGAATTTTTGACGAATTCTACGGAAAAGCTGTTTTTTAAATAAAACAGTAGAATGAGTACGTATCTATTTTTTTCGGTGGTGGAGCTCATCCGAAGAGGGGAATAAAATCCATAGCGTCCATGCATTCATTTCACAATGCGAAGCAAGGGTTTCAGAAATTTACACTTTTCCATAAAATTTAAATTATAAAATTAAACTCACATTTATATTGTCAATTTTATTTGTTAATATTTTTTAATGAACAACGGTGTGACGAGATTCAAACGCTGCAACTTTCCATGCAAAGCGAGATTCATCCCACAAACCGTGTCTTTCTCCAATTAATATAAATATTAACTAATTTTACTATTTTATTAAAAAATAATTTTTCCATAAGAGCGTCATCAAAATCTTTTTAAAAGCTTTCATTTTAATGTAGTAAACTGACGCTTTTTCCATCGAAGTCGGAGTTAGTCGAACAGAACTTTATCTTGATTATAGAAATAAAAAGTTAAATTTAATTATAAATTTAGCATTTATTGCTACACAATCCTTAAAAATAACTTTTTAATAAATACATAGTGCAAAAAAGTTCAGTATAAATACAAGATAATAAATAATGCTAATAAAAATAATGATAAAATTACCTTTTTAATGAATATTAGATCATTATCGTATTAGTATTATTTTTTACATTTTACTAAAACTTTTTTTAAATACAGCATATACGGACGAAATAAAAACTGATTTAATTAATAGTTTTGACGTTAAGTACAAATCAGGAAATGTGACAGGAGATGTGCTTGTAATCAAGCATTACTAATTATAGCAGGTATTATATGATGAATTTATGGCGCGAATGTCCATGGCGATAAAATTGCGCACACGAAACGAATACGGTATTAATTAACTGTTGGAAAGTGCTTTCATTAATACGCATATTACGGCGGTGACTATTCCTGGGCAGAGAACGTACGTCTGACCGTAAACGTGGCTTTACTACTGCGACACGGAAAAAATTATGCACTAATAATTTTACTACGAAGTTCGTATCGTTTTCCGATTTTATATAATTTTCTCGGTTTCCTTGCGGTAAATGAATTTAAGTAAGATTGGCTCAATTTTAAAATGAGTTTTAATATATCCACAAACGTATCTCTGTTTAAAAAAATAATATAATTGTGTGTGTGTGTGTGTGTGTGTGAATATATGAATCAAATAATGAATTTCATTTAATTGTATTATCCTCTGTATAATTATATTTTATATTCGAAATATTCATTGTAGTCAAATTATTCCATGTTAAATTTTACTCTGAAATTTTAAGATAAATTTAATTTTTCAGAATAGATAAGTACGATAAGTAGTACGCGAATTTATATTTTCGCTACGTGATGTACATGTACCGAAAAAATGTATAATTTTACAAAAAATTTTAAAAAAGTTTGCGCAAAGAAATCTCACAAAATATTTTATGTGAATTTTAAACATAAATGGCAAAAATTATCTATTAAAAGATTGCATTTTTTTCAAGTTAAATGCGATATTATATTCCGTGTAAAATGATAATTCAAGAATTTTCATGTAAAACTGAATTCCACAGGGAACTAAATTCTTTCAAAATAAAGATATACTACAAATTACATGTCACGGCTTTGTATTCGATAATAAAATTATTTCGATAATAAAAACGCTGAAATAATGTTTTCGATTTCGTAAAAATCCTATTGAGTTTTATGTAAGAGTATGTACTATTTTTCTATAATAAATCGGACAATTTTTCAGGCATAAATAATCACTGTTTGATTTTTATTTTTTATTTTGTTTAATTAATTTTTTACTTACCTAACTCCCATCTATTTTAAAACATACATTTATGAGATATATTTTATTTTTACGCTTCGATTTATAATACATATAATACATATAATATCTACATCTTATTTTCTATATCAATATTTTTCATAAATGCGCTATTTCAAATTAAAGATAATCTGTCGTTTATCGATACAATGGAATTGTTACACGCTTCCTTCAAATATAAAATATAAATATACTCAAATTATAACGGCAAAAATAATTAACATTTATCCAAAATTATAATACACTCGACACTTGTAATATCGAGTAACTTATAAATATTATAAATTTCGTGTTGATTAAAGAATTAAATGACTATTTCAACGATTAAATAAAATAATAATAAATTTTATTCACCTCATAGTTTCTTCGACATGGCCTGATGTCTTCCAGGCATTCTCCACATTCTTCTCTCTCTCAAGTTTTCTTGTTGCACTCACTCGTGAAAGCACGATTAATTAAGATCGCGCGCGCACCTAATTATCGGAATACAATGATTGTGCGACACTTTAAACGGCACTCACCTTTACACACGTATTTTATTACATCGCAATAGACGGATGAAATGGCACAATAAGATTCCAAGGCATAAAACTTAAGCTTTAAGCCATAAAAAAATCACAGTCGAATGTGAAGAGGATAATCGACTATAACTAGTTAATTTCTTACAATTTAAGGCTTAAGATTTAAATTTCATGTTTTAAAAATCTCATTGTAAGGCCACTCAACGCGAGAAAAAATGAGAATAATAAAATTACAATTTACAATACGCCGTTTCTTTTTTATTGCTACTTCCTAAGGCTATTCTCGCGTGTTCAATCAATTCGCGAAATATAAAATGTTTTCAATAAAATTTCGATATTATCTCATATACTCGAATCATATTTGATCCTATAATCAGTTTATTACTCCGCACTCTCCATATACGTAATCATGAGAAAAATCCGTTCGGATATTTAATATTGCTTTCAAAAGAAAAGATCGCGTGAGATAATATTTTACAAGTAGCCGTCGTTTCAACGCGCCGTTCACGAGATGTTAAGCGCGAGAGTTAATTGGCAGCGGTGAACGATCGTTAATTACTAATAGGTTCGCGTTTCAAAGAGTAATGTGGAGCGGCTCGCGAAAACTTCCCGTTTGTTCGAGTGTCGTCGTATGAATGATAGCGGTTACACCTCTCGCGTAAACAACGCGCCGAGTATCGTTCACGCTGTAAACAGACGTCACAGATATCAAGGACAATGGATTTACGTTACCATCGAAATGTTCAATTCTTGGTAAAATACCCGGTGAGAATTAAAACAAGATAAGCACGAATTATAATTCGTTATATAGAATACGGAATTCGCTATCAAGAATACGGAACGGCAGCCAATTGTAATAATTACGCCATGAAAATATTTAAAGTATTATAAGATGAATACAGTAAATCTACATATTCGTCATCGACACATTTTCTTACATTCCGGTGTAATAATTAATTAATCGCGGCTTTAAAAATACTAAGCTGTGTGTTATTAATAAGTAATTACTTTGAGATACAAGAAAACGCAGCGACGAATATGTAGATTTAATATACAATATTTATCTCTTATAATACCTTTGATATTTTCGTGATACAACTTGATTTTTATCGTCAAAACTAATGAAGTCAATTTTTATCTATTTACATCTGCATATGATGTATTAAAAAAAATTTTAGTAAAGTGACGAATAATATTTTATATATATACATATATATAATATATAATTATAATTTGAAATTAAACCGACGAGAATAAATCAATTAAGAGAAATAATTCTATTTTCGTCTTAAATATTCTCGGTGTGAATTAATTCTGTAAACTGCATTGATAAAATTATTTTCTTGAAAATCACAATCAAACAAAACTAATTATATCACAATTAAATTAAATCGACAAGCAATTTAATAATATTGCTATAGTATATATGCTAATAGCATCTTGAAAATTATAAATAATTTATCGCGAGAAATATTAGCTTATAATATTAAATGTGAATCCTTGAATTAAGATACTCGTACTGATACTCGTGTTACTCGATTTTCGTTCAAAAATATGAGGTCACGAATTATTTTTAGACCGATGAAAAATAATATTTAAACAAAAAGTAATAGGAAGCTTGGTAAATATTACGAAACAGTTAAAACTTCATCAAAGCTCCTCAATTAAATTCTGATTGCAAATGCAATGTAAAAAATATCAAATTGACTCAATATCTATTTATTAAATCATACCTACCTACAGGCTAATAATTTTAATCGAATTCTTTAGCAAAAATACAATTATAAATATAAGGTTAAAAAAAGGAGATTTGACAAGAGGAGGTTTCCTTGTTTCGCATGAAAATATCTTTATATAGTTTCATAAGAATCCATATTGTAGTTGTCTCAATTATCGTTTATGTTAAATGCGCCAAGAATTCCTCGAGTGAACGAGCTTTTGTACTTTCCTTCGTATACGACTCACGTTCGCGAATGTGTCGTCGCTATTTTGTCGACTTAATGCCTGTTTTTGAATACTATAACACTTTGCATAGTCGCCTACCCCCATTTATGTAATATAATGCACAGGAATTTACTTATGTATCTTATAAACGTGTCATATCGTACAACACGTATTTTCTGACGTGCATTGTAATGATTAACCCTCCAAAGCTGATATTAAAAATTGTAGCACAGTTAATGATGCTGGGTCTGAGAAACTCATTTAACCCTTCGTTTGCTATCTGTTTTTTTTACTATTTTAGGCTTTCAAAAAATATGGAAAATTTAGAATTAATTTTCAACATCTCTATTATATTATCAAATAGCTTTTTAACAAGGTCTTTTAAGAGAGAGACTCTATCTATATTTCGGAGAAATTTAAGAGTGAAATCTTGTTTGTGCCAAAAAAAGACCCAGATTGCAAACAGAGGATTAATTTAAGTTGATTAAAAATCAATATATATATATATATATATATAATGTGTGTGTGTATGCATAAATATTAAGTTCATTTTAATAATAATAATTCAAATTTACAGATGTATGTAATATAAAGAATATAATTGGAGTGAATCCAGTAGTGAGGAAGGTTAAGAGAAACGTAGTTATTTTCTTCAAAGCGCAATACATTTTATCAACGCTTTATTAAGTTAATAAAATTATTGCAATTATCACATAATTATGTAATTGTCAGCAATTTGAAATACAAGATTCACAACTAAGTGCAAGATGCATTCGTCGTAAGTTCTAAGCCGCATGAGGACTGTCAAGACGACAGTTTCCTGCATTTAGATTGCGGACAAAAATGAAACGGAAAAGAATGGCGACGAAATAGAATAAACTGGAAATGGAAAGGTATAGAATTCCATATCGCGATATTCTCATCCGAGGATACCCAGGTTACTTTTCAAATAAAAAAGAATAGAAACCAATTTAAATTTCCATATAACATCGCTCGACTGCGGACGTGCAATCTATCCACTGTTATATCGTACACAGGAGACATACAATCCTGAGTTTCCATTTTATTTGTATCAATGGCTTATACTGTTCGTTTTTTCGGATTTTTTTCTAGCAATCAATTAAGGGAGCATTAGACTAGACTGCATTGCAGACTAATTTCACATGTCGTTTAGCCCAGCGAATAAAAGAGCGATTTATGCGAAGATATATCTTTAGATATTTAGTCAAATACGCGAAAAAACTTATATTATCGTGCTTTCTTCAGCTAGTTGGGCATATTATCAAAGGCGGCGGAATCGCCATTTCGGGACAGGAACAACGACAGTTGGGTGGCGGTTTCCTGGAAGGCGAAGGTGCGCCGTCAGGTAAAAATTTTATACTAATCACTTGGAAATAAAAGAATTACAATTATCGAGTTTCAATTATTGATAATAAGACCGATAATACGAAAGGAATGGTTTTGCTGCAGTATCTAAAAATTTAACCAGATTGATGATGATGGTGCAAAAAATTTTAACATTCTACACTGAGAGCAAAAATGATTGCAATTATCATATAATAATACAACTATAATTTATAGTCATTTTCAGCTATTATATATTTTTTTATAGAATTGTAAGTATAATTATTATTACCAATATTATAGCAGTAATAACTATAAAAATAAAAAGAGATCTTAACCATAATTATTTTAGCAATTACAGCCACACATATAAAACACTTTTCTCTCAGTGTAGCAACCAGTTTGAATATTCTACACAATTATTTTGACGGTTCAGATAAAATTATTTTCTGTATCTAATTTTTAGATAGGTATTTCAGTAAAGCCATTCTTCCATGTAGTGGATTAATTATCGCACATCGAATTATGCAAACGACATCGTTGACGATGATTTATCGTCGCGACGCGCGTCTGCTGACTAACGTCTACTCTCTTTCAGGTTCCGGTGGCTATTTAGGAGAACTGACGATGGTACAGCTCTACAACGTTGCCCTGACCGCGGGCAAGGCGCACAAAGATCACAAGCACCATCACGCCCATCATTACGAACATGACACCAGTAATAACACGCCAAGAACCACCACGCTGCCGCCTGTAACCGGACCACCCTTGCCACCGCATCCCTATCTCACTGGAGGGCAGATCAATACACAAGTATAATCACGTTTTCTCACTTCGTTACACTTGAGAGCGCTCGCGTATGTGCTTCCGTATCATCAAGCTAATTACCTTCCGTTCCCTGATTAGCGTCACCGGAAACGAGACACGGAGGCATCTAAAAAACATCCGAGGAAGAATCCGAAAAATTAGAACGTCTTGTTAAATGTTTTCGCGCATGGAAAGAACGATTTTGTTGAAAAATTTAGGTTACATTATTAGATACAGATCTGAAAAATTTTATTGAATTATTAAAATAATTTCTTAAGCGTGATAGCTGCATAAAGTTTTGACATTTTAGTAATCAGCTTAAATGTTCTATATAATTATTTTGAGAGTCCAACATTATTTTCAGAACTATATTTAATTAAATTTTAAACCGACGTATAATTGGCGCACAATTTGCTTGAACTGCACTGTTATAACTAAAGGAGCAATAATAATCTAATTCTGTGAGTTGTTTTTATGGAAGTAACTTCCATGTGTGCCAAAATATAAATTAATCCATTTTTGTATTAAGTTCTAACGTAAACAACATATTAACATGTATTTAATAAATAACAAACTAAATTTTGATGAAATTTAATACATTTTCTCCAATTAAATTATTCATTGTTTTAATTAAATGAATAATATATTGGAAAGAAGTATAGTGGCAACCTACGGAAATAACACAAACTAAAAACAACTCAAATTGAGTACAATTTAACATTATAAATTTAATAGTAAACAGTAATGTTCACTTATTTATGTTAAATTTTTAAATACTTCAGCAAAATCACCCTTTCTATGTGATCATTTTTCACACATCTTTTCGCGATGCCTCTTAAATGTAAGACGTCCTACTTTCCAGACCCCACGTTCTAAGTATTATTTCTCCTACGCTTCGCCACGCTCAATTGAGCATGAATGCTTCATGCGTGCGAACGACGTTCCAGGTGAGGATCAATCCAGGGGCACCGATTCAAATCGTACAAAACGGCCTGACTATCCGTCATCCGGCATTACCGCCGGTCCCGGAATCACCCCCACAACCGCTCCCGCCCTTAAACTTCGACATTTTTACGACACCCTTCCCCGCACTGCCGACGCAGCAACGATTGCCCGCCGCTCCTAGACCGTCGTCGATCTTCGCGGATGGGCCTTATCATAATCTCTTCAAAAGAGAGAAGACTGAGTCCAAGAAACGGGATATTAAGAACGAGACGGTGTCAAATCTGACTGAATCTAAGAAATCAATCACGAAGAGAGGTATCGAGAAAACTTCGAAGGAAGCTAATACTTCAGATAGCAAGGTGAGCGTGATTAAGGACCTATTTTGTTTCTATAAATGATATTGTTATTTATTAATAATAAAATAACAAAATTGTCGTGAACTCGGTATCATTTTCTTAATTGAGTATAGATGTTTAAAATACTAAAATCATCTATTGTAATTAAAACGAAAAAATTGTTACATGAGTTTAGATAACAATAAGAAAATAAAATAATATAAACACGAAAAGCACGAGATTTTAAGAGATGTTTTATAATGTGTTTAGTTCTACATATGTAAATAAAAACAAATACCGACACAAAAAGAATTAACCTAATTTGAACTTAGAATACTTCTGCGCAAGCCTTAAGTCTGTTTTCACAATATATGATTAGGTTACCAAAAGATTTATCAATGAAATTCATTCATGAATCTTTTGCTAACTTTTAAATAATCATGTACTAAAATAGACTTTAATGATGTTATTATTGAATGATTATAGTAAAGGACTTAGATACTTATTCTATTAAAAAAGAAATGATATTAGTAAAGGACCTATTAGTTTAGGTATCTATTCTGTAAAAAAGGTAACGATAAAAGTATCCTATAGTAAGGAGATATTATTGAGTTTAGAACAATTTTATCATTACTTTTTGTTACGGAATAAGAGAAGTTCTTTACTAAAGTTTTGTTATTACTGAATGATTGTCGTTAGTAAAGAACTTACTTATTCTGTAACAAAAAATAACGGTAAAAATTGTCCTACTCAACATCTTCCTAGCTAGTGAGGACAATTTTATCACTACTTTTTGTTATGGAATAAGAAAAGTTCTTTACAAACAACAATTATTCAATAATTTCATCGTTAAGGATTATAGAATCAGGCCTTAAGTCTGAATTTCTTTCGCGTGTCCGTTTTTATTTATATAAGGATAAATATGTTAATGGAACATCTTCCAAAGTCCTTATCTTTTTATCTATTTCGTGTTTTTTGTTTATATACATTTCATTTCCCCAGTGTTACCTCAACTCGCAAAACAATCCTGTTCGTCTTAATTAGATCATTTTGATACTTTAAACATCACTCGATCGTAAGGTAATAATTTTTCTCAGCAAATGTTACCGTAAGTTTCGACCTAACAATTTCCGATCTATTTAACGTAAGAAATTGAAAGACTTTCGAAGAATCAGAGTGGAAATAATCTCGGCGAATGCATTTGACTTGCCTGCCAGGATCCTAAGATTTTTCATTGTATCGCTTCAAAAATATCTGTTTCACGCCGAGAAACTCTCATTCTTTCCAGTAAATTTCAGTTCAAAACATTCTGACAATTTCATATTACTTTAATAGACTGATTTTTTAAAATTAAATATACGATTTAAATTTCTTCTAAGAAACCTTTGCTGAAAATCGCTTCAGGAAACAAGTCTAACTTTTTTCTTTTGCATTTTTACATAAAATGAGCAAAAGGAGCAATATATATTCTATGCATACTGTGAATTTCTATTTGTTCAACTAATAGCGCGTTACGCTTCATGTGTTTCACATTTCTCAAATTCTCAGGTATCTTTCGTGCCAAGAACGGAGGTCGCGAACAATAAAACATTAGGAAAACGCGACGCCGACAAGAAGAAGAGAGGACTGTTGCAATTAGGCGACGGATCAATCTTCGATGATGGATACTCCATTCCTCAAGACTTGGACGACGATTATTTTGCGGGATTGACGGATTATGGACTCCAGACGAAGGGAACAAACGAGGAGGACGAGGAGGAAAACGTACGGGAACCCGCTGAAGCCGAGGTCAGATATGTGATGAACCTCTGCGACGGATGCGCCGATGAGCCGTTCGGGAAAGCGTTGGTCATAGGCTGGAGATCAGTAGCCAAGAAACTTTATTCCGGCGCGTTATACTTGCCAGCTGTACCGGCGTGTAAAGCATTCTAATCAACTGACGAGACGACGCGGCAAATCGCGCGCAAAGACGATATTACGTCGTGTAAATTTTCGCTGAATTTATCAAGCCACCCGGAAGGCTCCATTCTAAAAAATATCGAGGTGAATTTAACATTATGCAGTGTATCTACACAATTCTCACCGTGTTAATATTAACACAAATGTAGTGAATTACATTTCTAGTGTTTATATCAACACCATCATGATGGATTTAAAACCCACAGTTGAATTCCATCAAATTCACATCATGTTAGTGTTAATGTTAATAGCACACACAACACAGTAAGAATTATAAAGGCATGATGTTAAATCTACACCGATATTTTTTAAAGCATCGCGCCGAATAACCAGGCGAACCCTCGACATTACGGTCGACGAAAGATCGACGATCTCTCGAGAACAAAATGTTCCCAGGTATCCCACGCCATGTTTTAGATCGCTGAGTATCTTTAGTTGTTACGGGCGAAGATGTTTGTCACGCAATCTTTCGATTTTTTTCTCCCTGTTGTCCATTGAGTCTTTTCTTTTCTCGTGCTTAGATAATGTAGCAGAATATTTATTTGTATCTTCGTAAATATTACAAATATATTCGAAGATGTGAGTAATATTGCCATGAAAAAAATTGCGCTTGACAAAACATTTTGCCAATCATATTTATTTGCAATTTCTGACCGATTAACTGTATGACAATTAAGTCTGAAGCTTCCAGTACTGTGAGGGCGAGTACGAGGTCAATTGTGACAAGAAACAATCGCTACTCTCATTAGCAGAAATTAATAATTAATTTATAAAAATCCTGTGAAATCTTGTTTAAAGATATTAGAATCCTAATAATAATAAGTTTATTTATGCACTCTTAGGAAAACTTCTGATTTGTAAAAGTAAATTTGTAAAAATATTATTTATAAAAATATTAACGAAAGTTTTATCTATATATTCTAAAAAATATAAGTATGGATTTAACATCATGTTGAAAACCATGTTAAATTTACTGTATTAATGTTTATATCAACACCATGATAAGAATTATACAAACACCGCAATTGATATAAACATCAACATGATGTGAATTTAACATTATATAGATTTTTAATTATGTCAAATCCTCATCAATATATTTTTATAAGAGCATACAACAAGTCGACTGAAATCTTCATTAATATTTTTACAAATAGCATTTTTACAAATTTACTTTTACAAGTAGCTGAAAGTTTCTTTAACAAAAATATGCGCTGAATGTCGCAATAATTCGTACACAAAGGTAGAATTTTATTAATTCAAAAAATGTTTATTAATGGAGTGAAGGATGATTGATGTTGTAGAAGGACAGTATTATATTGTAAGTTCGAAAATTGATCAGGAATAACAACGATCACTTTTAACAAAATACTCATCGCGATTTTAAGGTGTATGCTGATCGATTGACCTCGGCGAGAAGGGAAACTTAACTACGCGACGGAAATCGCCTTGATCGATCAGTAACGTATGCCTCAGTTGCTTAAGCTCAAGACTTAGCCCTAGTGATATATATGTATTTTGTGTATATATGATGTATGCCGAATAAACTTTTGCATTATATTCTTTGATTTCTTAACAATATTCTAACACAAAACATCTCAAACTTCGTACATCTCATAATATCATTGACATATTTTATATATGATTACTCTCTCTTAATTAATAAATCCTAAAAAATATTTCTATAAACACGCGGTACTTCCTTTAAAAAAAAAAGTTGTGTTTTTGTCAATTGATTTGACTGTTCAGATTAGAAAAGAGTACAATTTATTATTCATTTTCAAATAAAAAAGAATATCTTATGATGTACTTTATATCTTTTCGAACATAATCATGAAAAGTACGTTCTTTATAAAGTATATAAAAAAGTACAAATTATTTTTTCAAATAAAAAGAATATCTTATGATGATTTCTATACTTATATTCCTCCGAATATATTGTAGATATCAAGATATGACATACATAAAATGTAAAATTAAACGAAAGAAATTGTCCCTCTAATAAAGTAAATATTTTTAAACTATTCTATAATAATCTCTTATATGTCCAATTAAAAAATATTCCATTATAGCTCCTCTTCGAGTGAATCACATACTTAAATATAATTATCAAATTTTAGTAATCCTATTTTGCATGATGGGCTGAAGAGGATATCTTTTCAATGTAATATTGCGTTATAACGCAGACTAAATTACGTAAAACTTGAGTAAAAAAAAATACCTAACTAACCAATTTCATCTTCGAAGAAGGAGAATAAAAGCGACGAACTAAGGATGGAGGCTCGTTAACTCGCACTTACCTTGCTCTTGTGAATGTGCTGATGCTGATATTCACTGTCGAATTCTGGTTCACTGAAGTAGCTCTGATCTTCCCAATGGGGAGGCAGACCGCCGCCGCCACCCGGCACCCCCAGGGGTCCCGGCATCCCCGTCACTCCATCGGCACTCTCGAAAAGTCTCAGGACACTGCGATCCCTAATATCTCTCAGGTGTGATCTAAAAACCAAAACGATCACTTTTTTTTTATGTTGCTGCAACGCAATCATTGTTCTTTCATTAAAATTCATTGAAACAAATACGTTCTTTCCGAATGTTATCATAACGAAAATTAAATAAATTGAAATTAAACAACTCTATGCAAAGCTTCTAAAACATCGCAATAGCGAATATTTGCAATAGATTTTGTAATAAATAAAAAATTTTTTAAATTGTTTGCAAAGCAAAATATATTTAACAACAGATTACGTTCTTCGAAATATCGTTTGACCATTTGAGAATAAAAGGTGAAATTTAGCAGAATATATTTATAATATGGCATAAAAATTACCTTAGATCTTCGAGTTCGTAGAACATGTCCTTGTTGCTATCGTGTATGTAAACTTTTACGTGAGGACTGTCCAGGTATTCCATAGTGAGTTGTTTCGGAAAGCTTCTGACGAAAAGAGCTTTGACGGTGTCTATACTGGTAATCTCATTCGGCAGCAATGCTCTCTTCGTCTCGTTCCTATATTGCAGGAACACTAGTCCTAAAAAGTACAGAAATGCATTTGTTTTATACAATGATTATCAATGACATATTTAAGACTGGTATAATGGTTAAGACTAGTAATTATCCGCTGATTCAGATTTAGGGGATATTATTTTATGTTCAACATATATTACATATTACCTAATGGTCGCTCCAAAGTCTTGCTGGGCGTTCGTACGACGGGCAGGCTACTTCTTTGCTTGCCCCCTCGCCGAAATCCCGTGCTGGAAGTCTCCACTTCGGACATGATGCCCGGGTCGTCATCGAAAAGCATCGTCGAAGGGGGTGGATAGCCGCGCGGAAGAGGCGACTGAAAGCACGCGAAATTTCAGTAAGGTTTCGATTCATTTATGATCCGCGAGTTTATTTACGATTCTGTTATTGTATCATGAATTGCTTATCAGTGGCATTCGTGAAGAAGAAATCATACGAGTCACTTCCCATACAGCACTGATTGTTGCAAAAAACTTTCAGAAAAGTTGTAAAATCATTTCAATCTTTCACGTTTTATGTGCAACAATTCTGAAAGAATTCTGCAAAGTCATATAAAATGTTACAACAGAAATGTTTCTGAAATCTTTCACACATAATAAAATTGAAGAACAACAGCATCGCCGCGCGCTTAAAGTTAAATAAACGTGGCGGAGTTCTTATTTCTTATAAGCAAAAAATTAGAATTTAGAGCTCCTAATTGAACTTCAAAATAGTAAATAAAATGTATTTTAACAGTTTAGTTTCGTTTAACATTGTATAAAAATTAATTTAGAAATATATTTATGAGACTTAAAGCATCTAATATTCTTGAGATTTTTAATTTATTTTTATAAATTTTCAACAACATTTCTGACATATTTCAAGAAGATTAGCCATTTCAATAACCTTTCGGCAATATTTCAGAAAAGTTAAAGATATTTTTCAATAAGATTTTTTTCAGCAAACTTTCTATAAAATTTCAAATGCAAAAATCACTGATATTTTGTTATTCCAAAGTTGCCTCAGAGCAGAAACATTTTATACTGTTTTTGAAATGTTTCAATTCATCAAAGGAACTATTTCTGAAATACCTCTGAAAGGTTTCTGTGCTGTACGAGTTAATGTATTCAGAAACAACATTCCTGTACGTACCTAACTCAAGTCTAATAAAACCGAATTAGCATTAGTCTATTATCGATTTGTGCTGATTAGAATTCGAACGATTTGCCAATCGATAACGGCAGAAAATTGTGAGCATTTATACAAACTGCGTACGGAATTGCAAATTTAGCATGATTTGTATGTAAAAGCGCTTGACTATTCCGTAATAAATTTTACTGAACATTTTATACCGTTATTATATACGACTTATACGATTATTGTCTAAAAATATAGCGCATTCAAATAATCAATATAAGACTCAAATAAGACTCACAATCAAGCATTAAAAAAAACGAATCTTTCTAATTTATTTCATCGGTGTAATTCATTATCAGTTATCCTATATAGCACAAACTTCCAAGGAACATCCTAAGACGATCAAAAGACATCTCTATATCTTCTGTATGTCTTAAAACAATTTCCAGGATTTCTCTCGAATAAAGTGTGCTACATAGGATATCACTTAGAGTTTTATTACCTGCCGCTGTAAATGCATTCACAAAGATATTTTCCGAGTAATTACGACACACGGTCACAACTCGAGGATTACGTAGATGCCACTCAAAGAAAAACGATCGTGTCAGCATGCCGACATGCACGTTGACGAAAAAAAAAAAAGAAAAAGAACTAATTCCGCAGGCAATCTTGCGTGAAAAACATGAAAATTAAAAAAATTACCTTTCTCTGGCGAGACTTGGTCCCCATCTGTCGGCGGCAAGGCAGGTAACACGGAAACACACACACAAAGTAAAAACCAGTTAGATGTGTAATACATTGCGGGGTAGAAAAAGGAGGGAAAAAGAAAGAGAAAAAGAAAGAGAGAAAAAAAAAACGAAAAAAACCGACAATTAACTGGAAACAATCATTTCGAGAAAGAGATCGAGTAAGAGAGGCGCCAATCACAAGCGATAGAGTTACTCTTCGTTGACAGGTCGGCCGTGTAACTCGAGCGTAAATTGCGGCTGCAAATACTGCGATACATAGGCAGCAGTTTCCTGTTCGTAATAGGAACATGTTCCACGAATCGTTTTTCGGTTTTCGAAGCACGCCAAAGCGTTGATCGAATCATTACTTCTTGCGTAACGTCCTCACGCTTCGTAAATCAAAGCAATTATATCCTAAAATGTTAATTTCCTCTTTGCGTTCAAAAACATTACCCGAATGCCTTCGAGTATCATTTTATCCTTGTTTAACATCGGCATTTAACAAAGATAAAATGATCAGAGGTTTGAGTAGTGTTATCAAACGTAATTTTTCATGGCTTATACATGGTGATTTGAGAGATATGTTATTATGTAGTTTGTCAAATGTGATTAAAAAATAAAAGAGAAGGTGGAATATATACACTTATGAATCCAGATACAAGGAAATATGGAGTACCTTCCGCCTATTGTATTTTTTTTTATATTTAAATAGTTTCCTTATTTCGAAAGTGATATTCTCATAATAACTCAAACAATTAAGTTTCTCAAAAAAAAAAAAATAAAAGAAAAATAATTATATTTTTCAATTCGACAGAAATTATGGAGTAATCAAATAATACAAAAAACAATATATTTCTAATCAGATGTTATTTTTGTCATTTTCGTTTCATATCTCTTAAAGAACGATCCTTTTTTAGTTATGATAATTTTGATAATTTTTTTATAAAGTTAAATTAGCTCATTTTTGATAACTGATAAAGATAATATTTATATATCTTTTAGAATAATTATTTAATTTATTCATGTTAATAACTCGAAAATCATTTTTTTGTGTCACTTTTAAAGTGAGGACGCGATATAACGAATATATGTAATTAAATATACGTATTTGCTAATATAATATGTATTTGTTATATAATCAATATAATATGTAAATAGAATAAAACGTATAAATGGAGTATATCTGGATGTATCAGAAAAACGTTGATTTTCGTCATTTCCGTTAGGAGATGCTACATACAAAAGCAATTAATAGCAGCTGTGTTTGAAAATAAATACTCGCAGTGAGTTTGAATTACAATCCTGTCCCTTGTATGGAATTTTCCGTTATTTCCTGGGCGTGTGTAAAAATACGTATACGCTATGTAAAAGAAATTGTGATTGTGCGGAGGTACTCCTTATTTCCGACACATTGATTTGTTACATAGTTACATTATCGCATTTCTTATAAAAAGTTACGAGAACTGCAAGGTCGGTGCTTATGATATCCAACATTTACATATGCAATTCACGTTCAAGAATATGTGTTAAATACTTGTTACGATGTTAGCAACTCTTTCAGATAAGAGATTAAAAGATAGGAAAAACTAGAATAAAAAAAAGGAGAGAAATAGAGAGAGAGAGAGAGAGAGAAAGAGAGAGAGAAAGAGAAAGAGAAGGGAAAAACTGAGCACCCGTTACACGTGAATGCATAACTATAACGAAGGGTTAGGGTCATTGTGCGCGCCAAGCTAACCAGAGGGATAGGAATAGAGATATATATTTATGTATATGTATATAGTATGAGGAAAAAAGCGAGATTGCTGAGCTTGCTTGCTTGCTTGCTTTTATCGTGGACGTGATTACCGGCTCTTTGACTCACATTTTCAACACACAGATTCATACCAAACTTTATAGGTACCTACAACGTTATCATATTTATAATAAATAATTATTTCGCAAGCAATGCAATGTAATTAATTAATGTTTTCTAAAAATAGCAGTGTTACACATTATAATCTTTTTAGATTATGTAGAGGTAAAAAACCATGAACAAATTAACAATTTTACTGAAGATCTAAAATTTAGCAAGATACAGATCTTGAAAATAATTTCAAAATTGAAATCATCAAAATAATTATGTAAAACGCTCAAGTTGGTTGCTTGAACGATAAAATTTTTTGCAGCATCGCTCGTCATGTTTGAATTTTCTACATAATTATTGTGTAGTCTAACAAAATTATTTTCATATATTTATCTAAATTTTTAGATTTCGAGAAAATCAATTAAAGAAAAGTGAAAATCAAGAAACTTTATACATTTAGAATTTCGTATAAATTTTATACATTTAATATTAATTATTTTATACATTTATTTTATTAATTATTTTTTAATTAACTTTCACTTTTTTAATTAACCTTCACTTAACAATACGATTTTGAAAAAGTGACTCCATAACTGTTTTGAGCAATGTAATTTCGTGATTTGAGACGTAATTTTATTTTTCACAAAACCACGTCGCGTCGTATCGCAACAGAGCGAGTATTATAAACCGAGCGAGTCGCTAACTAATGGCAAAGCTGGAGAACATGATGACGTAACGCTCGCATGTTCGCTATCTCGAATGTGCACCACCTGCGCTCCGAGTTCGATTATCCCCTACAAACCGCAGAGACACCCCGAGGATGTTCAATAACCACGTACCAAGAGCTAATCGATCGTGCAACATCCGTCTAACACGAATGTCATGATCTTCAGATCTTTTGAGCACGCAATGTACAAAGCGTGAGATTTAATGATGTCTAAATTACAATACTAATTGCAACTAATGATGTTCAAAATAAATAAACAGTAAATAGAAATTCATTCGCGAAATTGATCATCAGCTCAATATAAATTTACATTATCTTCTCGAGCAAAAAAAAATTCATGAACTTGTAAACTTTTTAATTTGTAAATTTTTTTACACGAATCAGTTTAACAAATAATTACGAATTAACGAATAATAATGAATTATCAGGTATGTACATATTAAACGTTTATATAAACACAAATTTTACACGATATTGTAAATAATAATATATATTTAGTTTGTTGAAATTACTGATATTATAATCTATATAAAGAGTCAAAGAATATTAGGTGTTTATTATATGAGTACAAAATACAGAATTATAACATAATAATATTCTCTCATTTTCTCCCTTATGCATATATTTTTCATGTTAATAATGATTTTGAAAATAAAAATAAATTTTAACCTTAATATTTTTACTAGGTTTTTAAATTATTTTGATGTGATCAATTTAGTTGCACTAGCAATAAAACACAGTATATATTTTTTATACAAATAAATTTAATGTTTCTTTAAATGTACCTAGTTATTTTAAACTCCTCCGACTATTAATTTTATTTTTATTAAAAAGAAGAATATATTTATAATAAGCAATGGCTGCTGCTGCTAAAACGTTCAAACGTTAAAGATGCAGACTCTAGAATATTATCCGCAGTTACTAAGCGATTATCGTTAAAAGTTTAAACATCCAGGTAATTAAAGTGCAGAAAAATGAGTCAGAAATCTGGGACGTTAAGAGGACGAGCTATGTAGATACGTTTACGTTCAATATGTCGGTACTCGGTACCCTTCAATTATCGGAAACGATGAACGCAAGAAACGAGGACATCGTAGGTGGATGATAATTAATTAACCGCTTCCTCTCGTTACCGGCGGTTCTTGACCGCGTAGTGTCCGTTAAAGTAATAAGCTGCGAGTATCACATAATATTTCCAGTTAACATGTGATGGTTTAAAAATTTTTTTTTTAATTGGTCGCATAAGATATCTGGCCGAAAATTAAAGTAGGTTATAGAAGTATAATCCGCTATTTTTATTAAATACTTATACTGTTGTAACATTTAGACTAGATTTATTCTCTTACTCTCTCATGCTCTTAATTTTTTATTCTTTTGTTCATTTAGTAAATTACCATCTAGTTTATCCGAAGATAGAATAATCGGTTCTTAATCGTGTAAGTTAAATACGATATTAACATATGATATAAATAATTCCATTAAACATTACATGTACGCGAATTATATTTCATCAATAATATTTCCCAATAATTAATGTACGAGAATATTGCACGCAAACGATACTGTAATCTTTTATCTATTATTAGGTTTAATGGTATTACGATGCATATTATGCGTCTCGTGGAAGTTTTGCAATAACGTCGTGAGAGCTTAATTACATCATAAGTTTGCACGTTCATCAATTATGAAAAGTTTAATTATGCATAATAGCGATTCGCGAAGTACATTACGAGATAAAAATAATATTTGTGTATTTTGAAATATTATGCACGCAGAAATCTCTCTACGCAAAAGAATAATTTTATTAAAGTTATCTAAGAGAATACAACTTTTTTCGCGAGCGTTCGAGGATTGTTTCATTTCTACATTTTTTTATGTATTTTTCCTCATAAAAATTGAGTTATCATAATAATGACGTAATACTTAAGGAGAAATTGCTACATTAAATTGAGGTTAATAAAATCCTCATTCACATTGTTACGAAATCACTGCCAGTTATGCTTCAATCATTTAAAAACTATTCACAAAGTTAAATCAACAACTACGAATTAGTTTTTAAATGATTGGAGCATAACTGACAGCAATTTCGTATAACAATGTAAATAAAAATTTTATTCTTTATTTCAATACCAATTTTTTCGTGAGTGTAGCGTCATTATAATTTTTTGTTTCCATAAAGAAAACTACAGAAATGCAGAAATAAAATAATCCTTGAATGATCGCAACAATTGAAAGTTGTACCTTCTTTTAACTAAATACAGATCTGTGTGTAAAAATAGTTTGATCAAACCATTAAAATAATTATATAAGAAACTTAAGTGCGATGAGCAATGCTGCAAAAAAACTTTGACATTCTAGCAATTAGTTTCAATGTCTTACATAATTATTTTGATAATCCAATATTGCAACGTTATTTTCAAATCTGTATTTAAATATTTCAGCAAAATTGTTCTTTTCATGTAGGAGAAGAATTCGGTTTATCCCGCTATACGAAAAGCAGAATCAATTCTGCTCCGTTTTATAGTGCATTCTTCAGTTTACGCTTGATCGCGCAAAAACGCGAACGTTGTATAACTTATAAGACGGATGTTCCAAAGCAAACAGTGTATGTACTTTTCTCTGACGGACCGAGAAAAGGGAGGAAGTTCGGGTTGAAAAGAGTCCGGGATAAAGAGTAAAATGTGTATGCATTCACGTGCGCCATAAATAAAACGGTGACCCTCAGTACGATCGAGTAGACTCGTGCGGTTGTCTTGAATGAAACATTCTCAAAATGAAAAATGTGTGTTCCACTACGGTCTCTTCTCGATGGGAAAACGATTTTCTCCCTCGTTGCACAAACGATGTACATTTCCGTACATACGTTCAGGTAACTGAACGTTTGCCATAACCTTGGAATACTACGGGGAATAACCCGCGTTTATCGAGATTATCAAAATGCCTGAACGTAAATAATACGCCGATGAGAATTTTATTTGCGAATAAAATGCGACTTTATTTTGTCAAACGAAATAAGCAAGATTTTCATTTTCAATCCGGTGTATTGTTCTTGTAAAAATGCAAACTCATGCAGAAACACTCGGACATGTTGCATACGTGAGAGCCTAAATTACACCGGCACGTAGAGAAACGCCAGCAAAACTGGAGTGCCGTTGATAACATCCATGCATTTGAGAATCATTTTTACGCGTTTAATTTGTCGGAAATATGAGAGGAGTAGATGACAATAAAAACGTTTTTTTCAAACTATTTATCTTTCTAATTTATCATGACATTGTAAAAAAATAAAATTAAACTGCACAAGCAGAGTAAATGGAATAATAAGTATTTTACGTGCTTGTAATATTTATTGCAAAATTTTAAGTTTTATTTGATCTACGCGTAAGAGTTAAAGTTCTATTTTTAATTTCATACTTCTCTAAAAAGGTTTAATTATGTTCACCACGGACTTTATTTATGCAATTTATGACATTAAAGAATCATTCCATGTAACAAGGAAAACGTTCAGTCACTTATCAAAGAGTCGAGTCACTTCAAACATCGACACAGAAAAGGAGAGAAAAGAAAGCCTTATTGAAGGAAACTTCGATATGATACATAAAGATAAATAGAGAAATATTATCTTATATGATATGAAACCTCTTATACACACATTATAGAGAGATTTTGTGATCAATACGCAGATAAGATATAAATATATCTGTATGACGGGTAATAATTAACATTACATGTAAAAATTGAACGAACAAATGAATTATTCATAAAATATGGAAATGTATCAAAGGCATAGAAAACAGAAACTAGAAACTCGCGTCGAAATCACGCGAAATGAAAGATACATACCATAATTGAAGAGAAGGTAAAGAAAGCTAAAAAGGGTTCTGTTTATAAAGTTCTGCTGTTATAGTTTGTACTCAGAGAAAAATAGTGGAGCAATCATAAAAGCGAGAACTATGTAATGTTTATATGTACACTGAAAGAAATATTTGATGAGATTAATTGGAATTCTGATTGAAAATGGACCAGAAGATTCTAATTATCGATATAATCAGAATCTTCCGGCTTATCAATTCCATGTGAAATGTGTTTTTAACATAAATTTTCCAACTGTGTATAAAACTTGTATAATTGTCATCTTTATAGTTTTATCATTATACTGAAAGAAAAGATTGGCTGAATATGACATAGCATTTTTAATTGGCTGCAGCAGCCAAATTGGTTGCAGCAACCATGCTGTATTTTACCATCTAATTTGCTGCAGCAGACCAATCTTTTCTTTCAATGTATATCTATTTCTCTGAGTGTAAAGCAGACTCTCATTGTATACTTCAAGTTGAAATACCGTCAATGTATAATATTGCGACAATAGGTAAGCGTTAATGAGAGGCGAAGGATAATGGGGAGAGAAATCGAAATTTGAGAGAGATCATCGCAAACAATGAGAATTATGTGTATGTATTTACATGTTGCGCGAGTTAAGATTCACCTCGAGATCCATGGTGGTGTGCCGTGAGGGCGGAGTGCCGTACTGGCCGTGTGGTGGCGGCAAATGATGCGGATGAAGGGGGTGCAGCTGCTGCGCCGCGTTGAATTGTTGATGATGAAGAGAGGGTTGATGATCGCCACCGAGAGCCGGGTTCAATCTCCCCTCTGATGGATCCGCCTGCAATCATACATGTTTCCTGTTGATAATATCGTCATTGACTCTCAAGCGACTGCTATCGGCGATCAAGACAGTTTAGAAACGATAGAAAATTTTCACTGAACGAATACGTTAAAATGTTCTTGATAAACAGATATTATAAAAATCAAGATGATTTTGTACACCCAGAGAAAGATTTCTTCGATAGAAATGAAATGAACATTATTTTTTAAAATCAAATAAAATTTACTTGATTTGAAAAATTCTTGTCTATTTAATACGTTTAATACATTTTTTAATTTAAAAAAATAATAAATTAAATTAAAGAAATGACGTTGACAAATCAAAGAAACATTTCTTTAAATCGAAGAAACCTTTTCTGTGGGTGTAGGAGGGTGTATTTAGACTTAAATCTGAACACCGAGCATTTCATGATTTCATTATTTAACATACTGCTTATGTGGTTATATTTTTCGCAACAAATTTTTTATAATGTTAAGATCACAAAAAATAAAAAAAGAATCTCACAGAGAAATGAAGCTCTTGTGAAATCTATTAATAAACGTCCTCGATGAAGAATCGAAGTAAATAGCTCTGTAGGCCCAGCGACCCATTTGGCAGAAAGTGATCGCGACAAACCGAGAATAACGCCTTCGCGGAAGTGGCCGGAAATAATCATCGAGTGACACGTGCGTGCGTATACATCAGGGACGTGTTCTCATTTTAATTATTCTTTCCCAACGTAACGAGGAAAAAAGCAAGATTGCGTTAAGTAATAACGCGCCAAAGGAATACTCAGAATAGACTCACACTGACAAAAATGTGAAAATAAGCAAACTAGAAATTTTTATCATTATTATCACACATCAGAATTTTAATTATTTTAATTAGAATTATGGCAGATTCAACTAGAAAATTCTTGTCCATTTTCAACCAGAATTCCAATTAATGCAACCAGACTCTTTTTCCAGTCCAGGAAACCGGGATCACAAAGATAGATAGACACCTCATACGAGATTCAACGTTTATTTCTCTCTCGGTCGGACGTGCCTTTGCCTGGTCTCTTCTCGTTTATGTTTCTTCAGATTGCTTACGAAATAAACACAGGGAGAAAGAGAAAGAGAGGAGTTTCACAGTTTCACAGCAAGTACGGGTCATTTTCACAGTAATTCCCGCGAAACGGGCGATAGGCTCGCGAAACGCGTATGTGAACATTCAGTGAACGTTCGCTTCTGGATTACAAAAGCGTCACGCCACTTCGTTTGTCCGGCGTCGCTCTCGACTTGATTAAATACGAGCTCACCGACAACTACGGTCTCTCATCGTTCTCTCTAAATGAACGTGCTCTCTGGGTCACAATCAATTTCGGCGAGTCCTAGTCACGTGAGGCTTAACGATGGAGGAAAGTTTGGATTCCGCGCGGAAGGAGCATCGTGGGAAAATGGGTCAATCCCCGTCAGGGTGGCGTAACCGGGAGAGCCGCTAGACGGCGTCGTCCTCCCAATTAATGACGAGGTTCGAATTCCGATGGATCTACAAGACCGATTCAATCATCCCGACAGCGCCATTCCTTGTCTGGATGATCGGACATTGCGCATTTCGGTGTTGTGCGGTAGCCGTTCCGAGCGAACGTCAAATCGCTAGGAAACGTTACAGTATCAGACATCAAAGGAGAAATGGTAATCCTTTAAATTAAGAAACATTTTAAAATAAAAATAGTTTTGTAGCTTCACAAATAAATCAAGTATAAATAAATTGCTTACACGAGTCTCCGCGATTGTTAATAATATATTTGTGACATAGTTTTAAAAAATACATTATAATTGAAAGCATAACATGAAAAGAAAGTAGAGTTACAGAAATTATACATATTCACAATCCTAATTTTAATTTAGAAGTTTAAAAATGCTCTACTGAGAAGTTGCTAATTTTGAGATGTATTATTTTTCTATCAACATAGCGATATCGTATCTATATGATTATCATTTCATTAGATTCGGAAACAATCGTTGGTATAAGAATTTCGAATCACAAGACAAAGTGGATTTATTGATAATTTAAAGACAATATTGGGTAATTCGATAAACAGAAAGCTACATACGCGAAAATTGACTGTTGTATACAGCAAGATTGCATGTGTATTTTAACAATAAGCATATGCCAGTTTCTATAATAAAGGAGTTTACGCTCCGAGGCTCGACATCCATAATTGGCACAAGTAAACTATAGTCTAGGAAACTACTTTGAAATTCCTAACAAGCATGCAGCACGAACGTAAATCGTATCGTGCAGTATTATAAGATAATTATCAAAACGAAAGATCACTCTTAACATTATCGCGTTAACCACAAAATATCATAACGCTAAATCTTCGCGTATTTTAGAAAAGCTTTTTAGCCGGTTTTTAAATTGAAATACATATAATAATTAGGTATTAAAAATTTCTTGAATTAATATTTTCTTCAATTTTATTTCAATTCGCAGAAAAAAATTAATTGATTAAATATGTCCATTAACATTTTTTTCAATAGACTGTTTTATGTTTTAATTTTACGATGTAACATTGTCTAACACATGTCCGGCACCTATTAAAACATCATCTATCCATTTGCCCTACGACTTTTAAAATCAAAATATAGATATAGCACCACGAACAAAAAATTATCATCCATAAATACTCCGGAAAATTGTCGGGAAAAGTCGTGTAAACGAGTAAAATTGGATGAAAAACTACAAAAAATAATGTGTGTATATATATATATATATATATATGACGTATAACGTAATATAAATTAATCTTTTATCGTTTTAAGCACTAAAAATGTCTGAATTTCTTCAAATTTTTGTTAATAAATTAGAATTGTACGTCGACTTCATCGAAATATTTAAATTTAATATTTGATACTTCTGATACATTAATATACTGATTCTGCAAACAAATATATGACTTAGCTTTTCATAAGAAAAATATAATATATTATATATTCTCTATTATTTGCACCAATGATTGAAATAATCTAATGTTAATTAATCGGTTTTCAATGGATTTAATCTAATCTTCTGTAGTAAGAAGGCTAAAGCAGATCCTAGATTAGCCTACTTAAAGTAACTAGCATTTGCTCTATTGTGTAGAAAGAGAGAGGGAGAGGGGGGGGGGAAGAAAGAATAATTTTAAAAATTCATTCTATAATTTTTTATGTTAGTAACTATCAAAATAAAACTAATTTCAATATTTATAATAACATTTTCAGTATTTATACTAATAAAAATATCATAAAAAAAAAATAAAATTATATATAACAATATAACAACAAAAATTTTTTGATGTATTTTTTGCACACAATTAATTATTTTTTGCACTATAAAAAATTATAATATTCATTAAAAAATTGAACTTAATACGGGAAATTGACCTCTAATTTTTTAAAACTATTCCATCTAATACACAGCTATCTCATAAAAGCAAGTCTAGGTCGTAACTAAAAATCGAACGATCCGAGTTCTTACCAGTCCTACCCCTATAACGAATAAAATTGGATTTCCGCGTGTTTTGCTTCTTCGTTCCGGCGCTTACCGACCCTTCTTAATCTCCCTCGAAATCGCAAGTTGAATTTTTCTCGAAGCACGAATGTTCGAGGCATCGATAATTTAATCCTTCTTTAATCTACAGTGGAACTCCACAAGATTTTAACTCGAGATTTAATAGCGTAGTTATTCAATGTTGGAAATTGGAAAAAAATTGCTACAGAAGATTCTCTTCGACATTCAATTATAGGATAGATCGGCTCCAATTTGGAGAATCTGCCAATAACATTCAGTCTTTTTATTTTTCTAATATCCTTTACTAACCCGCCGAAATGATTCAATAAATTAACACGCTTCTTCTTGAAATCGCGTACGCTCGGGTCACCCCGTGTACACTGTGTATACACCCTATGTACATACACGGCAGAGATGCGACACGTTATATACGAAGCCGAGAGGAGTACTGGCGATGATGACGACGGTATCCTCATATGCGTTTATTTTCAGAAACCAACGTAGCCGTGCGCTGAGCGCGCGTGGTCGTCGAGAAATCTAATCTAACGCTCGGAAATTCGATAATCCACGGTCACAGATAAGATTCCGCGTACGTACGTATATATGTATGTGTGTGTGTGTGTGTGTGTGTGTGTGTGTGTGTGTGTGTGTGTGTGTGTGTGTATGTGTATGTGTACATACGATTGGCATACCTGTCGCTTCTCTCTCATGTATCAGCGACATTCTGATTTCTCCGAACGCTTGCATACAGTATACACACAAAGTAAAATAACTAACATTCGATAACATATATTAAGTGAAACAACTAATGTACTCGATAACACAAAAGGCCGCATAGGAACTCAAAGGAAAGAAAAAAAAAATAATAGAAAGAAAGCGACAGCAAATGTAACAAAGATACATCACAATCAAGTAATATAAATTTGATTGTATTTAAATCGTTATTCATTATATTTAAAGATTACTCACATTTTTCAGAAAATGAGTTTAAATGTTTCGAGTAATTAAAATTTTGTAATATTAATTTTAAAGTACAATTTTGATAACTGATTGTAGAAAAATAAAAGTATGTCGTTTTCCTCTTTCGTTATATTTTTGTTTGTTTTCCGCAAGCAACAAAAAAAAGTATTTTAAAAGTTATATAAAAACAATTAACAATTTTAATTTATATAATTTCTGTTATAACAATTTTATAACAATTTTATAGTTATATCATCGTTGTAGCAAATAAACGATACTCTTATTTGCATTTATTTATTAAATTATTAAGAGATTATTCAATATATTAAATTATTCAATAAATTACTGAAAAGCAAAATGATACTGCGATGGAAAGTCAAACACCATTTATCAGGGGAATTTTTTAATGTTATGCCGCTTGAAGATGGATATCGGAAATTATTTCACGGGTATATTATTTCGCTGGGTTGATTGATTCGGTAGCCGAGCTACCATCATAAGTATACCTATAATATGACATG